TTCAAAGTCAACCTCTCCAATTGTCATCACTGTCACCTTCAGTAAGGCAAATCCAAGATGCTTAAATACCGACTCCTGTGGAGGAAATACGAGAGACTCTCAGCGCTTTAGCCAATGCTCATTCCTTTTCCATAAGCGTATTACTGAAGGGAATAGATCCTTATGGCAAACCCGGACAATTTAATGGACTTTTGTTAATTGTTTACTATTACTGTATATTTCGTTTACTACAAATGCAGCGATTTTAGTTGAGTCATGATTCCAAGATACCCTTGACGAGACCGAGCGAGCTTTATATGTCGTCAAAGCGCACTGAAAATTACTGTAACCAAATCTGTCAGGCTTGTTGCTATGGAGCGAGTCAATAAACGGCGCGAAAAGGTACAGTATGAGGAATATTTTTACTTTCGGTTTTAGATTACGAGCATGATAAAAAAGGGAAAAAACTCACATAAATCACAAACAGAAGCAAATTTACTCACATACACACTTATCTCTTATTTCATCTTACCTCTGATTTAAAGAGGACGTAGAACACCATGGAGAACCCAAAGAACAAGACAAAGAAGATCAGAAGTACTTTTAAAACCGACCTCTATAAACATGGTGACATAGATTCCAACCAGACTCAACCGACGAAGAACCAAGACTAGGTTCGCATAGCAAAGAAAAATCGAAATGGCACCCAACACCCAGATGAATTGTGGATAAACAATATCACGCTTATCACGGCCGGATAACGAAAATATTAGATCGAAAATGAAAAGTGACACCATGAATGAAGTCGTCGTACTGTAGAGTAACCATTCAGTGAGATTGTTTAAAGTGGTGAAATACTGAAGCCTCTGGACAAGTATTGCAATAACTTCCTTGGTGAACTGGACGCCTATAAGTAAAAATGCTATTGGATATACATAAATAAAATAATCTCCCAATTCTTTGTCACCGTTCTGCATGAATCGGATTAAGAAAGCTGTAATCATGACAACAAAGACAAAATAGAACATAAAGTTAAAGAAGAACACCAAGCGCCCGAAAGAAGACCACTTCTTATTCAGCAAGACCTGTGTCAAAGGATGATCGAGTAATTCTCTACGCTCGTGTTTCACCATGGTGCTCGGTCCAAAGAAACGGCTTTCTCTCAGGCAAGTGGTGTGAGTAGGATTGGGGTCTAGGAAACGGAGGTTGCAAGTAACGGTAAAATTTGGATCATCGGAACTTTCTGTCTCTGATCGATCGATGCAGTAATCCATGACCAGCTGTGCACTCTCTGGGAAGTGTTTTATGAGAAGCTTCATGGGGGTAAGGCCCTTCTTATCCTTGTGTTCCATTATTTCCATCCATCTGTTCAGAAGCAATAAAACAGAGTCAAAGTCAAGTATTTACCCGTGCGCCCGACCAAACTCAATCAATCATATGACCCCTAAGTCTAATAAATCTTGAAATTATATCTTAACCTAGACAGATTTTCTTTAGGTTGTCCGAGGAAGGAAGCTCAAGGTGGCTCATAAAGAGGTTTATCCTAAAATATTAATTATTAATGAATGGACATTAACACACTTTTCGTGTGTTTCCTTAACAAAACGTATCAAAAAATCTCCAGCTATAACAAAGTGCAGGAGATCCTGGGTTAGTTCGTCTGAGATTTTTAGTAAAGCTTTGCAATTCAATTAAAAAAAAGGGGGAACCGAGCTTAGCTTGGGGTGAAACTTACATAAGGTTAAACATAGGGGTGTTTCTAAGAGGCTTTGGCTCTGCTGAACTGACCTTATGTGTCAGAAAAATAATTACGACTGTTATTTGAGAAAGAGTCTAAAATTTCCATTGATACAAGAAAACAGAGGAAAGAATGGCATTAAAGCTACGTTCCATCTAAGACTTGGTTTTGAAAATTTACTTAACCATTTTTAGCTATCTTAAAATATAACGCAAGAAAAACGTCTTAATCGTAGCACCAAAACGAAGAGGAGACCGTTGTTTTCATAGCCCAGCTTGCCCAGCTTTACTTACGCTCTTCTGTACTTTTACTTTTCGGCTGTCATGTGCAAGTCGAGTCTCTCACTTCCTGCCATTAAAACTTTGAGTTTAACTGGTAGATAACAGCTCAGTTTGGAGAGACCGTTCATACCTTTTATGCTTTATCATTGCAAACACAACTTCGCTCTTTCCTGACTTGGCGGCTGTCTCAAAACACGTTACACCATCTTTGTTACAAACATTCAAACTTGCCCCGTAATCCATTAGCAGATTGACAACACCCACATGTCCTCTCCTACACGCAATATGCAATGCTGTTTCTCCATCCATATTCACGTCATCAGTCTCGGGATTAACAGTGAGTATATCTTGGCACGACTGTTCCTTGCCCAGGTCTGATGCACTCATTAGTGGTGTCCAGTGTTCTCTGTCCTTAATAGAAGAGTTAGCGCCATGTTGTAACAGAGTGTGGCAAACTTTCCTGCATGTAGAAAACGAAAACTCAAACATCTACGCTTTGTGTTGGTTCAATGTTTAATCTTATTTTCATTTTTCCAAGAGAAAACGCAACCGAACAGTTGCAATGGTGGATTAAAGACTGATGGTCTCAAATTCAATTCCTCGTGAAAAAAGGGAACTTGTAACATTAGTTATCCCTTTAGAATAATAAGGGTGAAATCTGCTCTCATGTTTGGTGCCCTGAGAGTCGAAACTTATCGTGGCAGCCGTAGCATAGAGCAAGCACAAGTATTGGCTATACCCCCAGAAGGGTATGATAGCCCATCTCGGGCTACCCCCCTCCCCCGTTGACCCCTATAACGTTTTGTCAGGTTTCTCTGACAGTTCAACGGTACCCATATATAACTTTTGTTGGAGAAAGGCGCTGTGGGAGATGCGTGTGTCTTGTACTGGAACACAACACAGCAACCATGCCAAGGATAGAACCCAGAACTTCAACCCTTTGGCCACCGTTTCTCATACAACAGAAAGCAATGAACTTACTTTATTTTTCCAGTGTAGCCCTTTCATTTACCTCAGTTGTCAATTCTTATACTTCCTTTTATCAATTAATCATTCTTTTAAAATCGCTAAATTTAAAACTTTTTGAGAATTCTACCGTTTGATTTTATAAATAGGGTCTCAATGGCGGTAACCATTGACCGCCAATCGGCCAAATGGAATTAGCCGCGAAGAGTAAAAATTTAACCGTTAGCCATAGATTGGCCAATATTTTTAAGCGTTAGCCGTAAAAGCT